TCAAGAATTACATTACTTATATGTACTGTAAGTAGGCTTCAAGGCTATCATTATTTCTTGAGTGATGTGATTTCAGGGCTGATAGTTAAGCATGCCTTTGGAATCCACTTTGCTCATCTGCAAGAATGTATGTTAGGCATAAAATAGTCAACCAAATCAAGGTATGCCGCATTAGGATTACACAGTTACGCATAAGAAAGGAGAGCGAATGCAGTGAGTAGTATATTGTATTTGGTGCGTAGCTGTTTGTAAATGTTGACGGTTTATGTGACGGTGGTAAAGACGACAGCTCGGAATGAAAACTCATCAGAGTAGCAGAACGATGAGCCAAGGACTTCGGCGCATAGTTCAACAGTCTTCATCCAACGGTGGCAAATCCTTCTTCGGCCTCCCGTGAGACTCATTCACGAATTCATTTCAGTCGACTTTCCTTCTAAATTAAATCTCTTGTTACAATTAGCCAATAAGTGGTTGCCTCTTCGACCATTGCCTGAAGGTCGCACTACCCTCTGGCCAACTGGTTTCAATGAGTATATGGCCTGGTTTATCATATCTGGAAGTTCTGATGATACATAGGCCAGGTCGAAACCACTGCCTTGTCTAAAGATGAAAACCTTTTAGGAGGTCGGTTTAAGTGAAATGCGATGGTATCGTGAAACTTGCCACTTTCATTGTGGCACAATCACACTTTCTGTCTCCCCATCTCTTCAGATAACTATAGCTGACACAAGTTCACGTTAAGACTCTTCTGTCTGTAAGTGAATGCTCCATCAAGAACAACTGTGTCACAACTCCATTTTCGATGTAAGCACGTCTCGAGACTATCAGTAATCATTCATTAAGAACGATACCAACCTCAGTCGTTTAAGGCGACTTTTCAGAACTGATAATTCAATTTTCCCACAATCATATGGGTAGGCCTCACGATTGCAATAAATTTCATTTAACACCACCTCCAAAAAGGCATTCCACTCAGATAAGACCATGATTTTGACCCAATCTGTATCTCATCAGCATCCCAACGAACAAACGAACTCGAGCGTCTATTTTTGACATTTTGCCACTTCGCCAGACTGCACCGAGTCCAAATGTGTCCCAGTTCCCACTTTTACGGTGGGATTGTCGAGGAGACAAACTTGTATTTTACCATTGCATTCAACTACACCACACTACTTATATGCATTGTAGGTAGGTTTCATGACTATCACTAATTCTTGGGTAATATTTTAGCCAGCCTTACTTCCTTAATGGGATTTAAGGACTGATAATTGAGTTTGGCCCTCATCAGACAAATTTGTGTGAAATTCACTACCATAATGGGGTCTACATACCTGATTGTGGGAGAGCTCCACCATCAGTTCGCATATCCCATTAAGCGACCTCGAGTGACTAAGTTCTTATTTTGTAAGTTAAAGCAAGACATAAAAAAAGTATGTTAATTTTGAAGTGGAAGACTACGAGGAAGCCTGCTGCCGAATCAGCCTTCAATATGCCTTTTTCAAAGAAAAAACGCAGTTTAATGTCTGTAGAGTCAAGACGGTGTCGAAACCGCAGTGCAATAAAATGATAATCAGCTAAATGACCAACTAATTTTGATACTATTTACAGGACACTATATTGGGTTGTGTTAAAGGAGAATGAAGATAATTTCGCTATGATTTTGCCTAGATGTTTTTTTATTATGCGAATGATATTTTTAAATTGAAGATGTGAAGACCAAGATGTTGTGGCCTCGGGTATGGTTTTAAGGTATACATATACTGGAATACCGAATAAATTGTATGCACTCTTCTAGATAATTCACACTTAGAAAGGGTGTGGAGTGTGCTGAATGGAGGCAGTCGCTCCGGTAGTTAAGTGTCCACGACTCGTCTATATTCAGATTAAATACGTTTTGAAACTACTACTGGTACGGTGATACCTACTCGCCTTGTATGTGGGAAAATTTAACTATCCTTCCTTTAGCAATTTCTGTAACTAGGATTAATTCAGTTCTTAAACAAGATCTGTTGGTGATTGATAAACCTACTTGAGGTGAATATAAGTGGCGTAATGAGTCGTAACAGCAAATACAAATTTGCTGCATCAATAGTCCAACTAGAAACCATTTTATATGCAAGTGGTCTGGCTAGCCTTAAAATTAACGTCTGCCCTGTGATCAACTGGTACTTGTTGGTGACATGTCGAAAAGAAGAAAAGTTGTACTACCCGGTTCGAGACCCGCGGGAGGCTGTGAGGAATCGAGTTCAGGCGAGGTTAAAGCTGCAGCCCAGTTCAACTATAAAAACTGGACAGACAGACAAAGCCAACCAATAGGATAGTGGGCAAATTAGCTCATCAATTCTTCATTACTTTATGTGATTTAAGATGAATACAGCTCTTTTTAACCATTCGCTTATGATTTCAGCTAGTTCACAAGGCTCTGTTGGCTGTATCTGTCGCGATTAATGATCAGGTTAGCTTTGAGAGAAGAAGTCTCTGCCTCGAAGAAGCTCCCTTTTTAAAGCTGAAGCAGGTCCGGCGTACAGATAGGATTTCCGGCTGTTTGGGGATTTCTCTAATGAGTAGACTTTTGAGGCTATAGATAAATTGTGAATAGGAGAGGCTTTTGCTTTATGTTGAGAATGCGAATGTTAGCTGAATTACGATGGATCTCTTGAGACTACATTGTTGTGGAGACTTTCCTTTTGAAGAAAAGTGCACACAGTGAATAGCTTCTTGGGTCTATCTTATCAAAAGATGGCGGACGATTTGCCGTCTATGCGGTCCATGGTGGACGCAGTCCATGAGACATCCTTCCTCGGTTTAGATGAAAATTGGTTGAGCTTTCGTCCGTCATGCTACTTGGCCGTCATTCTCGGAGCTGGAGATCATTCTTGCAAAAGCTTTAAGTTAGCATTAATTTAAGAAGGCTATTGGGCTTTATCCTACATGCTATAGATGCTTATAGGTAAAAAGGAAAAAAAAGATAAATATATACTTCTTTGGTTAGTTCTCACTCAGAAGTTTTGTAGTTAGATTTTTCCACACTCCTATGAATGGACATACTGTTTCAATTGAATATCGCATAGTCTTGCTTTCCAAATGGTATTGTCGTCCAAGCAGGAATGGATCGCAATTTCGACCTCGCCTCAACTGCTCTCATCTGTACCTTCAGCGGGACGAGAAGCCTCGAAGTACGGCTTATAATCTCGACACATTGACTACTACACCACCCCTAAATGAGTGCATTTTTGATAAATAGCAAATGTATATTTCAAGGAACAAACAAAAAATAAGTAATGCAGTCGACTGCTATAGCAAATCCAACACTGCTTCATCGACAATCCCACCACATAATGTTATATGAGCCCAAGGGCACACAAGACAATATTGCATACTGGTCGACGTGTCGAGATGATATGTTGCACTACAACAACCTGCGCTCGAGTCCAGTTGGGGCTCGAGGTGAGGCCGAAACTGTAGTTCACCCTGTATGGTAAAATGATTTGGGAAACAAGGTTATGCGAAATTCGTTGGTAACATAAGGCATATTCATATCATTGCGGGAAAATTCATTTAGCAGTCATTCATCATTTTAAGGGAAATAGGATATATATATATATATATGATCTAAAGGTTGTGACGAAAACCTCTACAAATCGCCTAAAATGAGTAAGGACTGATAGTTGAAATTTAAAAGAATGTTATGAATAGGATTCATGATGCAGTTTTTCCTTTCATTCGACACTTCTTTCCAAAAGAGATTCTCATCTCGACTCGAGTGGACTCGCCCACAGCTTTGACCTTGCCGAAACCTGTCTCCTCACCATCCAAATGGAAATCAAACCCTTGTTAGGGTAATGCATCGTTTTTTATCTTCGACGTCCTACCTCAGAACAGACGTGACTTTTAAGGCTGGCCGGGCCTCTGTCAAATCACATTTTTATAGTGGAATTGACTTGCGGACGTCGAAGATAAAAAACGATGATCACCCAATATTATATAACCAAACTACAACCTATACACACTAATACCATAGTTACCAACTAACAACCCAACCAATACAACCAAACACATCAAGACACACTCAAATGTAACTCTACTAAACGCAGCACGAACCGCACCAAACAAGCAATACTTTGTGTTGTTACCCCAACCGCACAACAGAAATCCATAACCACACAATCTGGAAAAAACAATAAACCAACCAAACAACGTATAACTTTAAAAAAAAGAAGTTTACAATTAAAAAAAAACCAATAAAGACAAGACAAGATAAAATAAACATAGACAAACTTAGGATATAAACAAGACCACGACAACACAACCTCCTATAGTAATTTTTCAAAGCTCCAAGCTTACCAAACAACTTTAAAAAATCAGCCAACCTCTGTAGATCCCCCATCAGTGAAACCTTTTTGGGTCCAACACGAGATTGTGAATAACCCAAAATCTTTCGCTCTATTAAAACCATAAAAAAACCAACAAAAAAAACAACAAACCTGAAATAATTAACAACAACCATAAACACACACCAATATTAAAATAAATAATCCCATTGACTCGAAAAATCAATATTCAACAATAAACTAGGTGTGTAACAACAAGAATTCTCCACGACTAATATGCAAAATTAAAATTAAATACTTAAACTATGTTGTTAATCTAACAATAAGAAGTATCTTCTATCCTTTATGTGTAAAATAAACATTTAAATTAAACTACCTTGTCATAAAATCTATACCAAACGACTAGAAACACTTTCAACATAAAAGCCAATTCCCTCAAAAAAAACTGTTGTCAACTATCAAATACAGATAGACTTGTTCAACCACAGAATATAGCTATCAAAAAAAACCCATCAACCAAAATAAAGATTAGAAAACACAAATATGCTCAAAAACTTATAAATTATAGAATAGCTTCAGGGTGACGGCATCAACAGAAAAACCAACAACGTTTGTTGGTTTTCGAATCCTGAGGGGACGAGTTCCGGCAAGGTCGAAGTAGAAGGCATGTCCACTCAAGTCGAGATGAGAGTTCCTTTGGGGAGGTGGAGTCAAGTGCAATGAAATGGCATCATGAATCTTATTCATGTCATTCTGGGAAGATTGAGCTATCAGTCGCTCTTCATCTTTTACGATTTTGAGAGAATGCACCTGCTGTCATGGGGATTGCTTTGGGTAAGATTTGTCTCTTGTCTGGTCGGAGGCGAAGTGGCGGGTGGAAGGGATCCAGACGGATGTGGAGGTAAGGTCTTTTCTTGTTTCTGCCCCTCTTCCTGTCCTTGTGCTTATGCTTATGTCTGCGTCTGTGTCTGTGCCCATGCCTGCTTCACTCCCACCCGGGCAGGGTGATTCTGCAAGAGGCGTAGTCCGATTTGCAGACTCACGTGTGAGCCGGCCAGTAGGATTGCTCAGCTGGCAATTGGACGTCTTCGGAGCGAGGATGCCTCTGGAGCGGAGGATCCCAGGTCTTGGCTGCCATACGTCCTTCATCCGATCTCTGGTGGCGACCGAAACA